TTGAGATATAATTAGCGTGCCATAAAATCTGCCCTATTAAAAAGTATACAATTCAGAGGTTTGTAGTCTATCCACAGACTAATTCCAGAACATTACCATCCCCCCAAAAGAAACCCCGTACTGTTAGCAGTCAGCTTCCCTGGCCTGGGGAACCAGTAATCTACCTTCTGTCTCCACAGATTTGTCTATTCTAGATATTTCATGTAAATAGACTCATACAATATGTGGCCTTTTGTGTCTGGCTTCTTTTACTTATAACCAGTCAAGGTTCACCCAGGTTGTGGCATGAATTAGTATTTCATCCCTTTTTGTGCCTGAGTACACCTTCTGAATATGCCACATTTTGTTTCTTTATTTACCCTCAGAGATATGGCCATGCTGCAATCCCTTCTCCTCCATTCTCCTCTCAGGATCTTGAGCATGCACACACACGTGCCCAGCTGAGTTTTAAGCCATTGAGTTTGGGACTCAAACCATGGTCAGCTATGAGGAGGTCCAGTAGTGTAACCATTACGCCATCTGCTGGCCCCTGATTCTTTGTGTTTTTATTATCGAGTTTTAAGATTTCCTTATATATTCTGGATACGTGTCACTTATTAGGCATATAGTTTACAAATATTCTGTCCTATCCTCTGTATTGTTTTTTCACTTTCTTGATAGTGTCCTTTAAAACACGGACATTTTAATTTTGGCGAAGCCTGATTTATTATTATTATTTGATCAGGCTGTGCTTTTACTGTCATATTTAAGAATCTGTTGATAGGGGCCAGCAGGTGGTTTAGTGGCTAAGGCACTGATCTCCCACATGGCTAACTGCAGTTTGAGTCCTGGCTTGAAAGTCACACCAGGCATGAGTGCATATGTGCCCAAAATCCCGAGAAGAGAATGGAGGAGAAAGGATTGTGGTGTGGTCCTCTTCCCAGGGGGACAATTTCTTGCTTTCTGTCTTTCTCTGTCTCTCTGGCAAGTGCACGTGCCCTGTAGCCAAAATTTCTTTAAAAAAAAAAACAAAAAACAAACAAACAAACAAAAAACCACAACTATTGTTAAACCTGAGGTTGTTAATATTTATGTGTATGTTCTAAGGATTTTCTTCTAAAAGTTTGTAGTTTTAGCTGTTACTTTAGGTCTGATTCATTTGGAATTAATTTTTGTATGTGGTATGAAGTAGGGATTCAGCTTCCTTCTTTTACATGTGGATATTCTGTTACACCAGACCAGTTCATTTATTTAAATAGTACTTTGTTAGTCATTAATTTACCTTTTTCAGGGTTTCCTGGTTTCTAGCATAAGTGAGATTACTTATTTGATATGTGACACAATATAAAGAATATGACTTTGGAATATTATTGAGTAATACTACAACAAGCAAGGGAAATTTAATAAGACTTATAAATTTTTGTCTCTAGTCTTTTCAAGTGGGATGCATTCTATCACAATATCCTCTTCTTAAGTCTCTTGAATTTAAGTTTTTTTTCTGTGTGGCTTCATTACCAATTTAATATTCAGTTCATGTCATTTGCTTTAGTTTTTCTAACAACTTTATTATTATTTTTTTTTGACTTTTCAGGGTGTCTTTTTGGCAAATACATATATACATATGGAGAACTTTGAAAAGTTTATGGAAAAATGGAATTAAAATAGGAATTTATTTTAATGTAAGATATTTGAAATCTGTGCATATGCATTTTCCATGAACATCTGAAGTCCTCTCATATAAAAGTTCATGGAAAAATAGAACTAAAAGAAATTTGTATGCGTGCACACACACACACAGACATACACAAACACTTTATTTCTTGACTTAAGATGTCAAGTATAAGACACTTTTGTAAGTGATGATACCAGCCACTAGTTTGTCCATTCCTAAAGAAAGAAAAATTTAACCATATTGTTGAAGTTTTTAAAACATCTTTGAAACATTATTAACTGAAAAAAAAAAGAAAACCTTTGAAAGTTTTTTTAAGATTAGTAAAAGTGGGGCCAGCAAGTGGTGTGGATGGTTAAGGTACTCTACTCCCACGTGGCTGATTATGGTTTGAGTTCTGGATCTGGTAGTTTGAAAATCATGCCAGGCACATGTGTGTGCATGCTCAGAATCCCAAGAGGAGAATGGAGGAGAAGGATTATGGTATGGCCATCCTCCCTGGGGTATGATTTCTCGCTTTCCCTCTTTCTGTCTCTCCCTCTTTCTCTCTCTTTGGCCTGGCACACATGCCCTATAGCAAAAACCAAAACAAACAAACAAAGGATTAAAAAAAGAAAAGAAGTCAGGAGTAGCCAGGTCAGCTCTCTAAGACAGAGACCTAATGATGTGCCTTGCAGCTCTGGCAAAATGGCCCTTGTTTGATGCGAGAAACAAGCAGGAGCATTGTGGTGGTGCAGGGGGCCTCTCTGGGGAAGCTTTCCCAGTCATGTTTCTCCTAAAGCTTTGGCTCACTTTCTCAAAACACCCTTATAGTAAGTAGACGTTGTTATTCTTTGGCTCTCCACAATGTCAAGAAGCAAAATGCTTTGAGCATCCCAGAAAACTGTTATATGGCCTTTGCTCCTGACCAGTCTACTACTTTGACTGGACCATGTCCACCTCTTGGTAGCCGTTGCTTGACTGTACTCAATTGTACTTTGTTCTCAGTAGTATATCACTAGTAAAGCCACATGTCGACTGCTGTTACAATTCTTTGAAGAAATGCTGCCGAATGTTGATCCCGCTGTTTAAGATTTCCATGGAAAGCTCTACTCTGCAGCTTATCTGCAGATTTGGCACCCACCCACTTCGATTTTTCAGTCACAATTGTGTTAGCTGAACCAACTGAGATGTCTGTAGTATTGAGTATTGTTTTTGCTATTAATCGTCCTCTTCAAGTAAGGCATGAACAAGATTAATTTTTTCTTCGTAACTTGGAGCAGATGGTCTGCTGGGTAGGCATCATCTTCAACATGGTTTAGTCCCTTCTTAAAATGAGTTAGCCATTTGGAAACTGCTCTCTTTGGGGCAGCGTCCCCATAAACTTCTCATAAAGCTTCATTGATCTCACCATTCTTCTACCAAGCTTTGCCATACATTTGATTTCTTTTCTTGCTTCAATTGTAACAGAATTCATGCTGCCAAACTGATGTGATGTCCTTCCTAGTGCTTCAGTAGTCCCTGTTCAGACATGTTGTAACAAGTTAGTGTGTGCTTATTTTGGTGCAAAAAAATTAAATCAATGCATAGGTTTTTTTTTTTCATAATAGTTATTTTTCATTAACTTGAAAAAAAAAGAATTACTTTATTTAACTTTATTTATTTTAATTTGACCAGAGAGGGACAGAGAGACAGAGAAAGTGAGAAAGCAAGTTGCCTGGTCTGGGACTTGAACTGCAGTTGGCCATGTGTGAGTCCAGCATCTTTAACCACCATGCCACCTGCTGGCCCCTCCATGAACTTTATGAAGGTCCCCTGTATATCTGTGTGTGTGTGTATCTTTCTCTTTATTTTCCCTACTTTTCTTGTGCAAAGATAGGCTACTTTGGATATCCCTGCATATATTTGTGTAGTTATCTTTATCTTTTCATAGTGATGTCTCTTGTGTAGATTCCTATTGCTGAGCATTTGAGAGTTTTTGTTTGTTTGTTTGTTTGTTTTTAAATTACCAGAGGGTGCATATGCTTTTCAAGAGAGACAGAGAGAGAGGAAGGGAGACAATAACTACCATACACACACACCCCCCCAATGGGGTGTTGTCATGCCACAGTCTCTGCTCCTCCATTTCTCTTTCTTGTTGGGATTTTGGACACACACACACACACACACACACACACACACACAGTGCCTGGTGTGTTTTTCAAACCATGGGTGCTGGACTTCAAACTGTACTTAGTCCTGTGGGTCCAGCCCCCTTGCCCACTAGGCTATGGGGCTGGCTGTGGGAGAGTTTAAATCTTTTGCTATTACACATAGTGCCACAGCGAATTACTTGTATATTCTTGTGCAGGAATTTTATAGATTAGGTTCCTAGAAGCAGGCTGGCTAGAACAGAGAATAGTGTTTCTATCATTTTATTTGATGTTGCCAAATTCCTCCCTGTACAGATCATCCTGTTCTCTACTTAATGGCAATGTATCAGTACAAGTATGCCTTTCCCCCAGAATATGTATGTTTTCAGGCTTTTGGATTTTTTTTCCAGGCTGGTAGAGAGGGAAAGTGAGAAATCCTCCCCTATGGGGACTGGCCATGCTGCAGTCCCATCTCCTCCATTCTCATGGGATTTGGGGTATACATGCATATGTGCCTGTCATGTTTTTTTAAAAGAATTATTTCCTTTATTTTATTTATCATTATTGTTATTTTCAATTTTATCAGAGTGAGACAGAGACAGAGACAGAGAGAGAGAAAATGAGAAAGCAAGCCACTAGGTCTGGGACTCAAACTGTGGTCAGCCATTGGGAGTCCAGCTCCCCTAACCACCACACCACTTGCCGGCCCCACCTGGCATGTTTTTTAAGCTGCCAGGTCCAGGACTTAAGCCGTACTGTAGGCTATGTGGTATTTAGCCGCCTTAGCCACCGCACCACTGGCTGGCTCGCCATATGGTAATTTAGACCTCTTAGTACCTCTTGCCAAATTACTTGTTAGATGAGTTTTAAACTTCTATTAATTATGAAGAAGTACAAGGACTCATGTTTCTCACTCTTATCAGTGTTTGCATTATCATCTTAAACTGGCAGTCATATTACTAAGTGTTGTGTTCTGCTCGATATCCTCATTTGTGAAATGATAATATCTATCCCTTTGTTTTAAAACAAAGCAAAAAATGGTAGAATTGATAACCGTAAAGAACTATATGAAGTGTGAATTTATTTTATAGTGCTTTATACATGGTGTGATATTATAGGCGCCTGGTGAATAACCAGTCGATTGTAGGCAAAGTACCTACGCATTGTTTCATTTTTTTTTTATAGATTTTTTTCCCCTTAAAACTTTGTTAATTGCTTTGTTAATTTGCATATTTCCTCAGTTCGTAGAAGACTATGAACCCACCAAAGCTGACAGCTACAGGAAGAAAGTGGTTCTTGATGGAGAAGAAGTCCAGATTGATATTCTGGACACCGCTGGACAAGAGGACTATGCAGCTATTCGAGACAACTACTTTCGGAGTGGGGAGGGTTTCCTGCTAGTGTTCTCAATCACAGAACACGAGTCCTTCACAGCAACTGCGGAATTCAGGTGTGTGGAACGAAGTAGCTGAAGCCCTGGAGGCCTTCTGCCTTCCTTTCTGTGCCTTAGGCTTAGATGAGGGCCGAGTTTGCATTAGGAAGAATTATATTTAGAGGATCTTCTGGGACTTTCTGAATCTTGGCATGTTATAGTTCATCATTATTGTAATCTCTTAGGGATTCCCTATTTTATGATTTCTGAATATAAATTATCTTAAGAATCTCATTGTTTCTGACTACAGATGAAGTTATTCCATATACTCAAGGACCTATGTTTTCATATAAATTCTGAGCAATGATCAATGAATTTACTATATATATATATATATTTATATATATATTTTTTTTTTTTTTTTTTTTTTTTTGAGAGAAAGAAAAAAGACAGGGAGGGAAAGTGAGAAGTCACACCCACCCCCCACCCACCCCTGATGGCCATGCTGGAATCCCTTTTCCATTCTCCTCCTGGGATTTTGGGTATGCATGCACACATGCTTGACATGATTTTTAAGTCACTGGGTCCAGGGCTAGAACCGCAGACTTGGCCGTATGAACTTCCACACCACCTGCTGGCCCACTGTCTTTATTTGTTGTAATAATTTACTAGTAAGTGACAATCTTGATCTGTATTGACGCTTATACAACATTGGCAAGAGAGTGAAAGATGTGAGTCAGAATGACCATGTGCTGTTTTTAGACTTTAGCAGAGTGGAGGGGAAAGACCTTGTTTTTACAATCAGACTTGTTTTGCCACTTACTGTCTTCGTGACCACTTAGTCTTAGAAATTCTGTTTCTTTCTCTGAAAATGGACTTGTTAGTTGAGAAATGAAATGAAACAATGCAGACCACGAATTCCACATGGGCAGGAATTGTGGCTACCTTTTGTGGCGTCCCCGGCATTGTCGAAGTGGGGCATGTGGGGCTTGTAGAAAATAGAGTATTCCCTGCTAGAATTCACTTTACGGTGTGGCTGCCAGAGATACCCAAAGGTTGTGTTCCTATAAAGAAATTGTGACCTCGGGACCAGCAGTTAGCGTAATGGCTATGTCGCTGGATTCCCATGTAGTCGACCGCGGTTCGTGTCCCAGACCTGGTGGCTTGAATTCACGCCGGGCTCGTGTGCGTGCGTGCCCAAGATCCCGAGAGGAGAGTGGAGGAGAAGGGATTGTGGTGTGGCCACCCCCCCTGGGGGGTGATTTCTCACTTTCTATCTCTGTCTCTCTCTGTCTTTCTGGCTAGCACACACGCCCTATAGCAAAAAAAAAACAACTCTAAAAAAAAAAGGAAGGAACTGTGACCTTTTGAGCATAATTTTTATCTTCTGTGACTTTCTCTTCACCCTATATCCTTCCCATTTCTCTTACAAGGCTCTCTCTTGTCCTTATAGTCAATCCAGATGACTTTTTAAGAAGCAGATCTAGAATCTAATAGTAAACTGAAGAGAAACAAAATAAAACCCAGTTAAAGTTTTTCATTCTTTAGCAAGTTCTGGTCAGGAAGTAAGGTGATCAACCAGATGAAAATGAGGAAGCTAAGTATCCCCTCAGAATCTGGAAGGAAGCACCCCTGAGCAGGGCAGCCTCGAAGGGTGAACTCAGGTAAATCAGCAGAGTGAGTGGAGGTCATAAGGTAGGGCCTCAGTTATGCTCCGGAGTTTCCACCTTCAAAGACTCGGCTAGCCCGGTTTCCTGCAAGAGTGTGTGAGGGGTGGTGTGCTTTTGCCCAGGACTCCTTTCGAGAAGTCCTGTTTATTTTTAGGCCATTGAGACATACCTAGAGGCTTCTGTATTTGAATATAGCCCTGGTATTCACGATTGTGCTTGCATCTCCGTAATCCAGCTTTTATGCCTCCTTGAGGATAAAGCAGGACAGATGCACGCTCCGCCGTACTTCCTTCCCTGTCCGGAGCCTGTGGATTCCTGTCACTCTGTGACTTACGGAGGGCAGCATTGGGCACTAGAAAAGTCGTCTCCAGAGGTTCTAAGTGCCCCTGTCCTGTATCATGGGTCAACTCATAGGACTGAGTCCTATGAGTCCTCAGTCAATTTGTGCAGGCACACAGAGAATGTTCATGCCTTCTCATAGCGTCAGAGCCGTCTTACCTCCCTTGGAAAAGGGTTTGGCTTGGTAGGTGAGAAGCAGGCTCTTAGGCAGAAAAAGGACAGGTGAATACCTAAAACCAAAAAGAGAGGAAGTTAGTTCTTAGGATTTGAACTCTGGGCATTTAGATAAAAGCCCTGGAGCAGGCCCAGTTTTCCTGTCATAGGAAATAGAAGAATGGGGGCCAATTATATGAGTCCTATGAGTCCTCAGTCAATTTGTGCCTGTTAGTTATCAAACAGTGTTTCTGTATTTGTTTTCAAAATGGTAAGGGCCCAACAAAATGTTCATGTACACAGTCTTCCTTGAAACGTCTTCTGGACAATATTCTCACAAACTGAGATAAAAGGTTTGTGACCAGCACTTGTGATTTTGGGATCAGTATGTTGAATAATAAGGTAATTTTATATGCCCCGTAAGAATAATGAGTCAGAAAACTGTCAGTTATTGTTGGTCATAGTTCATACTTACCACAAGGCTTTTAAATATATCATGCTCTTATTTATTTATATTTTTATATTTAAAAAATTGTCAGGGCATGTGCCCTTGTCAGAAAGAGAGAAAGAGCACCCCCAATGGGCTGTAGTCACGTGGCAGTCCGTTTTCCTCCATTTCTCCTTTCTTGTGATCCACTACTAGGCTTCTGCCTTCCGTATGACAAATACTGGATTTTAAAGCTTTCACCGTCATGACGAAGTCATACCATTTTTTCAGAGAAATAATCAAACATTTTTGGGTAATATTTCTTTTAGCTAGTTAGCTAGTTTTTTTCTTTTTTCTCAGAGACTTCACAACTTTACTTTTTTTTTCTTTGTGCATACGCCTAAACCAGGGACCCTGCTAGGATACAGACTCCTGGGCTCCTATCCAGGCAGCTACCTCTGCATGACTGTAGGGCCCAGGAGCTGCATTGCCACGGGCACCCCGGCTGTAGTGATGTGGGCAGCTGAGACCAGACTGTGGGAACCGCGTTTCTGATGGCCAAAGCCTTGGTATTAGGTGGAGTCAGAAAACCGGGCTCTTACTCTGGCTTTCTTAGCTGCTGTGTTTTTGTTGTAACCTGCAGGGAACAGATCCTCCGTGTGAAGGCTGAAGAAGATAAAATCCCACTGCTTGTCGTGGGAAACAAGTCTGACCTGGAGGAGCGGAGGCAGGTGCCAGTGGAGGAGGCCAGGAGTAAAGCCGACGAGTGGGGCGTACAGTATGTGGAGACGTCGGCTAAGACGCGCGCCAACGTGGACAAGGTGGGTGCTGCTCTCAGTGTCTCTTGGAAGCAGGCTTGAGAAGCAGCAGGACAGAGACCTCTCACCTGGTTGGTTTTGTGGGACCCCTCACGGGAGCTAGATGAGGACTCCGATTTCTCCAGACGTCTGAGCCCTTGTAAGGAGAAGCACTGGCATGGCTTGACCCTGTATTTAAAACAACCAGCATCTCCCTGCCTTGTCATGAGGCTTCCTCCAAGTATGTTTAATGTTGGCACCACTTGGAAGCATGGTGAGGCGAGTTGGCCATTGGTCTGTGAAGGTGCTGCAAGGACGAATATCATACGCTCTGTCTCTGCAGCCCGTGGCTCTCTGGGAGCATGGCTGACTATGTAACCTGCTATTAGGGGTTACCCCACGTGGCCGTGACAGAAACGTGGCACTCGATTTTGCTACCCTTGAGCTTTCTGTGAAATGATTTTTCCACCCTTCCATCCACTGACTGAGCCAGGGTGTTGTGTCTTTATAGTTGAGGCTCTAATAGTTTTCCTTCTCAGCAGGCAGCTCTCCAGGATCTCCTTCCTCCCTCTCATCCTGTGCCCGGTATACTTTCTCATTCATGCGTCTGAAGCCAGTGACAGGGCGACCTTGACATGAAGGTGAATGATGACAGTTTCAAAATTCCCCTGCCAGGAGTTGCTATTGTTAGGCCTTTTCTGGTTTGTTTTGAATCAAGGTTCAAAATCAGTGCCACACCCTAAAATAGACCCCTAGAAAAGCAGCTTTCCTTTCTGCCTTCACCTTGTTCATCAGCCCTTGCTCCATGATCTGGCCTCTTGTCAGACCTCTGCACGCTCATGTGGTCACTCTGGCAGTGACCAGTGACCACATAGGCTCTGTGCTTGCCGCGTCAGCACGCAGATCCCCAGATCCCTCCTGTTCCTCTTTCTTATACAGGGGTAATTTTCCTTCACGTCTTACCTGGCAGGGGAGAGATCTTTAACCAAGCCTTTCATTAGCTTAAAATCATGCTAGAGGAACAGTGGTATTCAGGACATGGTACGGACGGGGTTCACTTCTGCAGCACCTGCAGGTAAACCCGCTCAGGGTCAGCAGGGTCGTCTGCAGTGTGGAGTGTGTTCAGCTGTTGGCTACTTTTTCTTTGTATTGTTATTTCTGCACTTAAGCTGTTTCTTGTGTCACTCAAACTTTCTCTTCCCTTTTAATTTCCAGAGGCCGTGTGCCCTTGCTACATAGATTGAGAGAGGGAGAGGGTGAAAGCACGCCCCCTGAGATGTGGTCATGCCACAACCCCTTCTCCTCCATTTCTCCTTTCTGTTGGAATTCGGGGCATACATATGTTCCTGGTGTATTTTTCAAGCCTTCAGGGCCAGGATTTGAACTGCGATTGGCCATGTGGGATCTAGCTCCACACATAGTGCTCTTAACAACTGCACTACCAGTCCAGCCCCTACATCTTTTTCTATCAACTTATTTTCAAGCTATGGAAAACACACAGGAATCTAGGCTGAGGCTTCATGTTTTAAAAATCAGGAAAACTTGGACTAGCAGGTGGTGTGGTGGTTAAGGCACTGGATTCCCACATGGCTGACCATGATTCAAGTCCTGGATGGAGCAGCTTGAAAATCACCCCAGGTGTATGTGCATGCATGCCCAAAATTCTGAGAGGAGACTGGAGGAGAAGGCTTTGCAGTATGGCTATCCATCCTGGGGGTGATTTCTCACTTTCTCTTTCTCTCTGTCTCTGTCTGTCTCTCCAGTGAACTCACGTACCCTGTGGTAAAAACCTAAAAACAAACAAACAAAAAAACAGAAAGACATCCTTTGGCTTCTGTGACTGTGTGTTTTTGAGTGGGATGGGGTGAAGCAGGGTAAGGGGGCTGTCACCCAGTGGTTTGTCATCTCCCCTTCTCCATTGGACCAACTTGACCTGCAAAACAGGAACCAGCAGAAACTTACGACTGGCAGCATTGTATGCACTCGTAAACTATTTACACAAAGAAAGAAGAGGTGATAAGATCAGCCGATGAAAAACTTTGTCATCATTTTAACTCTGACACACTCCATTCCCCTCCTGCCTTTTGCTTATCAGGACACAGAGAAAACCTGTCATCTTTGAAGCTGTTCACTGTTGTGAGCGCTGTGAGAGGCTGGCGAAAAGTGCTGAGGTCAGCCGGGTCTAGCCGACTAGAGGGGGCATTCTGCTCCTGGAGCCGGTGTGAGGCACGCAAAGGCCCACACTCCAGCGCCCTGTGCAAGGGAAAGATAGGAGCCTGTGGTTTTGTGGGAACGTCCGGAGATAAAGCCCAGGCCCCATCTCCCACTTCCGTCTCCGTCATTCTTGCTAAGAAATCTCAATGTCCCTTTGTAGGAGACATATTTTGTCTGCGTGAGCGTAATCAGTTCTCTGGCACAATTGCTGGTAGCAGAGGGCGCAGCCCGACCTACTGTGACAAGTGGTAATCCGTATCTGAATAGCACACTGACATTGAGGGACATGTCCCGTCAGTTCTTGATAAAGTCCCGATCAGTTAACATCAGAGGAGTGGTTGTTCCTGAGGGTTAGCGTGGTGGGTATACCCGGGAGGGACTTTGAAGCAGGACAGCTCGTCCCGCCCCTTCCTCTTTCCTGTGTGGGAGCTGGGAGTCTTTGTGCTTGTTCTGTCCTCCCTCCACTCCATTGTCTTCCTGGTCTGCTGTTGCAGAGAGGTGCTGGGAATCATCGTGCATAATGATGTTCTGCCTCGTAGGGTCATTCTGGGAGTTCAGTAAGACACAGGGTGTGTAAATACCCAGAAGCAGGCACTCACGTCATTCTTTCCAGTCTCGGTGGTCAGCAGTGCTAACAAGTCTGATCGCTGCTGTCACTTTCAATATTTGTAAATTTCACAAACTGTAGTCAATCTGTTCTATACAGAAAAATATTTTATACCCTTCATCATGCTCAGCTTAAAGATTTTTGTCATTTTGAAATTTGCTATTGAGGAGCCAGCAGGTGGCGGGGTGGTCGGGACACTGGACTCCCATATGGCTGACCGTGGTTCAAGTTCTGGACCTGGCGGCTTGCTTTCTCACTCTTCCTCTCTCTCTATATCTCTCTGGTCAAATTGAGTAATACTAATACTAAATAAGAATTAAATAAATAATAATTAAAAAATAAAGAAATTCTCTGTTGCATGGTAGTAATAATATGATGATTCTGTCCTTAGCCCGACTGGTGTATATGAGTTGAGATGTTGACTTTGTATAATTAGAATATGTTTTTAACGTTAATTATTCTCATTTCTTTGTAGAACAAGTTTGGCTTTCTGCTTTAAAATATAATTACATCTTAGCAGTATTGTTTCACTCGGTCATTAAATGCCTTTTCTTTCCTATTCTTTTTACCCCTTCCTTCCTATCCCCAGGTGTTCTTTGACCTAATGAGAGAAATCAGAGCTAAGAAGATGTCAGAAAACAAGGACAAAAATGGCAAGAAAAGCAGCAAGAACAAGAAGAGTTTTAAAGAAAGGTGCTGCTTGCTGTGAATGCCCGGATGGTGGGGGAAATCAGTTGTGCTAAGGACACAGAGCTGGGTTCGTAGTGAAGGCCACAGAGGCTTCCAGCTGCGCTTCCTGCTCTCCTGACCTCACTCATGCATACTTCTTTAAGAGGGGGAAATGCTGTGACTGGGCGGCTGGCAGAGGAAACAAGCCCTGTCCGTGCAGTGGCATGGCTGCCTGTCATGCCTCCTGACAGCCACTCCACTTCTCTCCTAGGGGCGAGCTCCCTCCCTCTCTCCTCGTCCTCCCCTCTCTCCCTCCCTCTCAGCAACTTAACTACATGAAACAGTCAAGTGTTACCTAAAAAGTATTGTCCTAGCTTCTTCTTTCGTTCTTAGTTATTTACATTACCAGATCATTTGTTTTGAAATAAATGTCACATTGTGTTATGGAAAAGGTGGGAGGAGTGAGATGATCTCCCCTCCCCACCTTATCACCCCTACCTTATCAGTTTTGCAGTAGGACTAAGAAAAGTCCAGTAGGCTCTAATGACTCTTGAAAAATCCAGGGATTTTAAGTTTTTCCTATCGGAAGTATAAATAAAGTAATTTGTAGTTCTGAATTGCACCAAATAAGTCAAACCCAAGCTCATAATCTTCCACACATGTGAAAAAGGAAAGTCATGAGTTGTTTTCTTCCGATTTAAATATGCCACTTATAGTGCGTGTGGCCGTTTCCCCCTGTAGCACCCTGATTTCGTGTAGGAACTTCCTTTTGTAGACTAAGTGCAGACTCGAGTGTACACTCTGTCAGTGATGCGCTCTTCCAGTCAGGTGTTCTGTATGTTCTTGGGCCGTGTCCTCTCCTAGCTGCCAGTCACGTGCCCGTCTGCCCACTAGTAACTGTCACCTCTGTCTCCCTGACCACCTTCTGTGTGCCTGCAGAGGCCGAGCAAGCCTCTGCTGTCTCTTCACATGTCACACAATGCGGTGAGTGAACATTGGGTTCTAAGATCACGAAGCTGGAGCCTACACCAGAGCCTGCCTGCTCTAGGATTGCTGTTACTCTGAGTTTCGAAGTGGGGAAGAGAGAAGAAGCCATTGTCCTACTCTCTAGAATTGCCCGCTGTCTCTCAGGTGTGCATTTTTTCCGAGATAGTCACATAGTTAGTTAGAGAAAGATTTTCATGGCTGGGGTATTGTTAATTCCCTTGCATCCATATTCTGAAGTCAGCAACCAGAAACATTTTCATCGGGAAAGAAACACTGTGACCAGAGCCCAGCACTCAGCACCTTTCCCCATTCCCAGAAGTGACGTTTCATATTCAGGTGCCAAAAGTGAAAGGGTGGGGAGAGCGGGAGCATTTTGAATTTGATAATAGAGATTGTAGGAATTATGATCTGACTGGAAAACAATCTTGTATAACTTCCCAAAGAATCATGGGCTTTTTTTTTTTTTTTAATAAAAAAAGCAGACAAAGATACTTCTTCAGGATTTCGGCCTTTTTATTTGCTCGTTTTGTCATATATGTGACATGCAAGTATTAAAGGAATTGAGAAGTTATTCATTATTCTTGTTGGATGTTCGGTCATTCAGTCATATCAGGCAGACTTTAACCCCTTGAATTGAGCTGTGGGAAATAAAATTGTAAGTATTTATTTTTTTTCTTTTGGAGAGGTTTTTACTATAAGGCGCATGTGCTCGCCAGACAGACAGAGAGAGACAGAGAGACAGAAAGCGAGAAATCACCCCCCCAGGGGGGATGGCCATGCCGCAATCCCTTCTCTTCCACTCTCCTCTCGGGATCTTGGGCACGCACGCACACGCGCCCGGTGTGAGTTTAAGCCACTGAGTCCAGGACTCAAACCATGGTCTACTACGTGGGAGTCCAGCAACATAGCCATTACGCTAACTGTATATATTTTATAATTTTAAAAGTTATATATAAAGTTATAATTTTAACTTTATCTTTTCTTGAGAGAGATCACTATTCTTTCTTCTTAAAAGTTATAGGAAGTTGAAGGTTATAATACCTTTGAATTTCTGAAACGACCTTTTGTTTTTATCTTCGTTTGCCACTCATTTATATGGTTAAGGTAGATAGATGTGTGGAGTATGTACAGATGAATTAAAATAGTATGAATAGTTTCATGCTCCAGAAATTATTCTTGGTATATGCTATTAGTATATTCCTAAAACTATATTTAACCGAATAGCAATCAGAAATGGGTCTAACTGGGGCTGGCAGGTGGCGTGGTGGTTAAGGGTGCTGGACTCCCATATGGCTGACTATGGTTCGAGTCCCGGACTTGGCGGCCTGCTTTTTCACTCCCCACCCCTGACCCCTCGACTCTGTCCTTCACTGGTCAAATTTAAATAATGAGTAAATAAAGTTAAATAAAATAATTCTTAAAAAATTATTAAAGAAAAAAGAAATGGGTGTTTCTAACAAGATAATTTGTTATGAGATTTCTTGCCATGGACAACTTGGAAGCAATGTTGTTTATCAATTTCAAACCTAACACTGACTAAATGAGATATTATGTCTATAGCTCAGCTTTGTTTTTCTGAATATTTGCTCTAGAGAGATCTGTGCACCTGCTCAGTGTCAGGCTCCATTCCCAGTGCTGGGATGTGGTCCCGAACCGGTCAGTCAGGATCTCACCTCTTCTGGAGCTTATGCTTTTGCGAGGTCCATACACATCCTCAGGGTCAGCGCTTTGATGAAAATAAAGCTGGGTAGTAAGATGGGAAATGTCACGTCACGGGGTAGAGTTGGCTTTATTGGATAGTCACCAGGCTTCTCAGGCAGGCATTTCAGCGAGACAGCATGGCCTGAGGGACCCTCATGAGGATCAGAGGTAGGCAGGTGGAGGAGCTTTCCAGACTGGGGCAAGGCTAGTTCAAAGGCCCCAAGGTGCTCAGGAAAAAGCCCTGAAACTAGACTGTGGTCAGAGTGTGTGTGTGTGGGGGGGGGGGGGGG